CTGGTGTGCGGCGAAGATGAGCTCGATGTTAGTGAGGCGACGATATCCTCAGTGATGAAGATGGTTGAGTCAGTCTTCATTCAGAGCCTCGACCTGATACTCTTTCCTTCATTGTGCACCAACCGAGGGGAAACGAGAATGAGACCTCTGTGGAAGCTGACAAGACTACTTCTGACGATCTTGCTTCCATCACGAACATGCGTACTGCTGCTCAATGAGTCCCCGATTATCTGGTGACTCGAGGTATAACGGCAAGAGCTCTGTCAACACGTTCAGCGATTTATGGGTGTGGATATTGTCATTTCGGCATATAAGTGAGTGTCCTATCGCTGCCCAAGGGGAAGGATCTCGGTTCTTCTACCAAGGGGCCGTATGCGGATCCTGATTCATCAATCTGAGTCCATGATTCAACTCATGCTCTGATCCTGATTCATGATTCAAGTCACACCTTGATTCGAGAGAACTCATTCAGATTCTTAGCTTAGAAGAAAGAGTCGAGATTTCTGAGTATTGATTAGACAGAGCTCCATTGCTGCTGTAATGTTTCCCTATTTCATGTCATTCGTCCGATAACTCTATGTTGTGCGCCCATCGCACGCTGCTATGTGTATGCGTGCACAGTTGCGCTGCGTACAAACCGTTCATTGAGTTGGTTAAATCGTCTTTTCCTACTTAATGTCTGCTCACGAGTCGAGTCATCAGTCACAGGAGGGAGACGGATCCCAATCATTGGCTCCGATACCGGGACTCCTCCTGCACCTCTTCGAGGCTGATGGCCCGTCAATCGACACCGCTGTGAAAGACCTGACTGTGGCGATGGCCGATATCCCGGCCGAGGAGCGAGAATTAGCCTACATGGCTTTCGTTAACGACTACTTCTCGGATGATCCAGAGCCGGTCAAGGAGGCCTACCATTCGCTCTTCGTGCTATCCCAGGCTACAACAAGGTCTGGTACCGTCAACATACGGAGGGAGCTCATAGTGAGCTATCACTCCCCTTTCTGCGCGGTCGAGCATACGCTCATGAAGGCAGGTCGCACGCTCAAGGCTCGCCTGGACTACGAATACATCTCCGCTGTCGAAATCGCCGCCCAAACCACCCAAGAGAGAGTACCTACTCTCGATCCTACCGTGAGGGGCAGGGAGTCGATCCAAGGCACACCCCAGCTGCAGTTTCACAGGATCCCGGAGCGGGTCCGAAATGTTCCATCGGCTCCTCCGAACATCGGTTTCGCTACTCCTCCTCTGGGTAGAGGTCCAAGGATCCAACACCAACTCT